CCACGGCCCCAGATAGGCTGGAGTCTTAAGGGGCTCAGCAGTGGTGCCCCTCTATGGGTGGGAAGGGACAGCAGGGAAGGGTGGCACAGAGCCAGGCCATTATCAGCAATGGGAATGCACTGCTCGAGGTCAGAGAGGTAGGGGCGACACAGCGAGGCCCTCTGAGCTGCTGGAGGTGGCTGCCAGGGTCCCCAGGAGGGACCACCTGTGCTGCCTGCCCCACTGTGATGTGAACTGACAGAAGTGAGTGTCGACCCTGCTGAGAAGGAGGACAGGCAGGCGCTGGAACCTCAGCTGGGAAGGGCCAGGTCACACCTCTGGTCGCTGAGCTGCTGGCTGAGGGTGACAGGGACTTAGAAGCTTGGAGGAGAGGGATGGGGGTAGCTGTTTGTGCTGCTGGCTTGGGCTCTCTGAGATTCTCCCTGCGGAGAGGATGCTCGGGGGCGGAGCCGGAGCTCTGTGCAGCACAAGGCTGAGCTGTGGCTGTCACCAGGCACCAAGGCTGAGCACGGCCTCAGGTGTCCGTGTCCCTCCCCTCACCCCACATCTCTTCTGTGTTGATCCTGCTGGATGGAGTCTGCCTATCCACGGATCTGAACTGCCCTTCCACATCCTCGGGAGAGGGCAGCACAGAGCTCTGCAGGGTGGCATCCAGGCCGGTTCTGGGTTTGGTCTGTGGGCCTGGGGAGCAGGTTTTGAGACCAAATGGGAGGCCAGGCAGGCCGATCCCTCGGGGCTAGACGGACTGTGTGTTCTGGGACTGGGGAGGACAGAGTGGGCTTGCAGGGTCCCATAGCCCCACTAGGCGCCATGGGCTGGAGAGAGAAGGTGCTGCCAGAACCGCCCTGTCTGCCATAGGCTGCAGGCGCTGCCCTCTGAGGTAGGCCCAAGACCGGGCAGATGTTGAGCCGAGAGAAACTGCTCCCCAGGGGTGGCTTTCTCACACCTCTGGATGCTGGCTATAGGCTGCTTCTTGACTACGATGTGTCCACGAGGCCAAAGTGAGGCACTCGGTCAGGCAGGAAAAGCCAAGGTTTTGTCTCATTCATTTAGAAAATGACCCTGTCCCCAGAGTAAGAAGGAGGTGAGGCCCAGGAGAGACTCTGGAGAGCCCTGAGGGGGCAGCTGACTGTGGGCAGTTCTGGCCCCAGTTGCCTGTACCACGCTGAGGAGGATCAGCAACATGCAGCAGGAGAGGGCAGCGGGAAGCCAGGCCTGGGCTGCCAGGCCCACTGCAAGGCCCACCTGGGGATGTGCCAGGCAGCCTGCCAACACCAGTGGAGTTCTTTACAGTGTACTCAGCTGCGCCTCACACTGTCCTCACTGCGCTCTCCCGCAGCCCTGTGAGCTCCACCCTCCCGCGAGTACACCGCCTGTGCCACTGCGTGCACACTGATCTGCCAAACCAGACAGGTGACACACCAGGAGCTGGTCCATCACACCAGGCCTCCCCACACGCAGGGGCCAGGAGCCCAGGGTCTCCCTCAGGGCTGCTTCTGGAACGCAGCAGGGCTGCCTGGAAGAGGCCACGTCACGGAGGGAATGTCGAGTGGTACTGCGGCGCAGATGGGCTGGGGGTGTCCCGACCTGGGGCCCACGCCAGGCTCTGCCCCCACACTATGGGACCTCGTCTGCACCGTCACCCTTGGTCTTGTTGTTTGTGTTTTCTAATCTGTAAAACTGAGAGCAACATCCTTTCTGGAAGCTTGGGAGTAGAAACGGCTGTGTGCTGGTGAGGGGTGTTCAGGCTGCGGCAGGGATCTCTTGTCACCGTCACACTCCACAGATGGCATGGACAGAGCACGGCCTTGCGCTCCCATGGAGCTGCCCGAGCTAGCGGGACACAGTGGTGCTCCTCCCAGTCACCACCGCGCGTCACCATCAGGCAAACCTGTCAGGCAGCTGGAGGAAATGACTACACTCACTACTGTGATTACGGAGTTTGCCAGGGTTTATGGCTTCTTCCTGCTGCATGCCGGTTCTTCAGAATTCACAGCTATCCAGGGAGACAGCTTTCCCTGCTGCCACATGTAATTTAGTCCTTATCCTGATCCCACAACAAGTGAAAAGAGAAAGGCTAAGGAGAGACTGACTTCCCAGCAGCCACCCTCCCATCCCTCATGGCTGACATTCAGCTTCCGCCTTTGCCTGGCCAAGCATTGTTCACCAGGACTGGACAAGGCACGGGGGTAGTGAAATGGACCAAACCAGGCCCTGGGCTCAGAGGTCTCAGCCTAGGGAGGAAGCCCACAAGTCAGCCACTGACAGACGCAGGGGTCAGTGGAAGCAGGACCAGAGAGGCATGGGACAGGAACCGGGGTGCTTTCCGGAGGAGGAGCACTTAGCTGAGTAGAAGCAGGGATCATCCAGAGGGGTGGTGAAGGATACAGAAGAGGGAGTGTTCTAGAAACAGGAAGTGGTGTGATGACACAGGACACGCCCTGTGGGAGACTCAAGGTGGTCTGGTAGGGGCATGCAGGGGACGCTGGGCAGAGGAAGAGGCCGCGTCCCTGAGGGAGGCAGGTGGGGCTGGGCCACAGAGCTGTCCAGCTGTTGACGGGTGGGGATACCACCACACTCGGCCAAAAAACGGGCTGACTTTTAAAGTACCAAACACAACTTCATTGTGGGTTCAGGGCCAGCCTGAACTACACATAGCAAGACCCTGTCTAGAAAACAAAACGAAACAAACCAGACAATCCCCAACAATATAGTGTAAAAAATCTTTTCACAGCATTTACATTGTATTAGGTGTTAAAGTCATCTAGAGATGATTTGAGGTGTACACAGAGATGTGGAGCGATAACATGCAAATACTACACCCCTAATATGAGGTACTTGAGCGCCTATAGATTCCTGAACCAACTCCCTGTAGATACAAAGGGACAAAGGCACAGGGCCCAGCTGGGGGCCCTTCCATGAGAAACGAAAGGTCACTTGGGAGAACTCAGTCAGAACAACACTCTTGCAGATAGATACTAAAATGGTTACAAATCGTATTTCAGGGGAGAGCAAGGAGACAAAAGCAGAGCTTTCAGTAATGAGCTGAACCAAACTAACGTCCAAGTGAGTTTCTTCCACTTGCACAATCTGCTCTCAGATGCTGCTGCCCTCAGGTACCTGGCTGGGCCTTCACAGGCTTCTTACGCCTGGCCGATTGTCCTCACCTCCAGAGCGCCACCATCCTTCACCATGTGCGGGCATATGAGGGGAGATGGCCCCAAAAGGGAACACCGGAAGCCAGCTGGGGTGAGCCCGGGGAAAGGGAGACATCCCCATCAGGCTCACAGGCTCCTGGGGCTGCGCCTTAGGCCACTCGAGTGGGGAAGAGAAGCAGTGTCTGCAAGAGGCCACTGGAGACACGGGACCCACTTCCTCCCTCACCCCCACCCTGATGCACAGACGCAGGCACGGAACGACCAAAGGAGGCCCTGAGCCCGCTGTTCTGTGAGGAAGGGCGGCAACCGCCACTCACTTCAGCACGACGCCCCTGCCACGGAGAGCTACTGGTCCCATCAGTTTGGACAGCAGCAGAAACCAAGGCTCAGGGAGGTTAAGACTGAGAACCAGCCCCAGGACAGACACAAAGATGAGCACGAGTCAGTGGGACGGGGCTGAGGATCTGACTGTGTGTTCTCCTCTCCTGCTACTCATGCGGTGGGAGTTGGAGAATGGGCTGCGCACTACAGCATCTGACTAGCGATGCACCACAGACAGCACTGGCACCTCAAAGGCAATCTGCATGGAAACCCGTCTTCTGCCCACAACAGAGCAAGAGCTCTGAGGAAGACACAGGCTTCTCTTCACGCGGAAAGGCTCGGCACGGCGGGCAGATGCCTACTCTTTCCTTCTACCAGGTAAAATTAAATGGCTTGGATATTTGTTTGTTTGTGATATTGGAATTGAACACAGGGCCTTCACATTGAGCTACATTTCCAGCCCTTTAAAAAATCTTTTTATTGGGCCGGGGATTTTGCTCAGTGGTTCCCGCGCCTGCCTCACAAGTGCAAGATCCCACGACAGCGTGTCACCAAGTCACTGAGTTGCCCAGGCTGGGCTTGAACTTGCAATCCTCCGGTCTCATGGCCCCGAATGCTGGGATTCCAAGTGTGCACCACCACGCCTGGCTTAACTTGACAAGCGGGGCTGGCTCTTGTCACTGACTGGGGTTTCCGAGAGTGGCCACTTGGGATAACTGTCTCCACCCACAGCACAATCACGCTGACATTCACTCTGCTGTTCAGGGCTGCACGCCCACCTGGAGTGAGCCTGGCCTCAGCTCCTGGAAACAAAGCAAGGAAAGAAACCCGCGGGCTGCATGTGAGAGCTAGAAGGGGCGACACTGTGACGTCTCCAGGACTGTGCCCAACAGAGCGGTGCGGCAGCGTCACCATCAGGACACACAGCCCCCGCCTCCCAGGCCACCATGGTCCCTGCTGCAGGAACAGCACCCAGCCAGGCAGCAGACATCTGTGAGAAGGGAGAGGGGCTCTGAGAGGATGCCGGTGCCTTTCCAACAGCGCCACCTCTCCAACGGTCTGAGTCCCCACACCCACAGGTGGACAACAAACAGAGCTGGAGAGTGCCACTTCCACGAGCTCACAACGCGACACAGGCAGCGCCACTGTCAATCACATGAGCAGCACATGACGGTCAGAGACAGGGAGAGGTGGGTCTTGCTCCGGAGGACAGCAGAGCGTGGAGAGGAAGTTCGTGCTCAGATAGATTTATAAGCTGGGCATGGTGGTGCATGCCTGTAATCCAGTATGCAGAGGCTGAGGCAGGAAGACTGCCTCGAGTTCGAGGTCTGTCTCAACTACACAGTGAGACCCTCTCTTAACAAAATACTTCTGATACATCACAACTTCTCCTACTCAAGTTCTTGGAGCAAAAAGTATACATTTTTGTGCTAGCCATTTTCTAGCAGAGTAGCGACAGGTGTGAGAGCACCCCTTTCTAAGGGAAGCCTGGCGCCAGCACCACGGCACCGTGCCACTTACCTGTTGCTGTCGCGGTACTCATAGATGTGACAGCCTTGGGGCAGTCCAGTCTCGTGGTCCAGAGTGAAAGCCAGCTTGAGCTGAACGGAGAGAGGAGAGGGAACAGGTGAGTTTCAGGCAGCACATTCATTTGCTCCAATAGCAGCGACGGAACAAAGTAAACAAGCAGAGTCAGCTTCCTCCACCGAGTGTGCGTGGACATAAGGGCCCCTGGGGTGCCAGGACTGTCATCAGGACCCCACTTGTTCATTCGGCACACGTCAGCATCTATCAAGTGTGCGCCTTGTGCCTCAGGGAGGGGTCACCTTCATGGAGCTGTCTGGTAGAGGAGCTTGGCAGCAAAGCACCACGCTGAGAAACACACACAGATACATAGGATTTCACATTAAGGTTCTGTGGCTGGGTGGGGACGTATACCTAGAATCCCAGCTACTCAGGAGGCTGAGGCAGGAGGATCACAAGTCTGAAGCTAGCTTGGGGAACTTAGTGAGACCCTGTCTCAAAATAAAATGGAAGGGGCTAGAGTATAGCTCAGTGGTAGAGTGGTTGGCTAGCATGTGTGAGACCCAGTCTTCAGTACTTCAGGGGGAAGGGGGAGCAGCAGGTTCTCTGAAGCAAACAATCCATATTCCTATGAAAGAGAAGCTGCCCTCTGGGATGGGAATGTGGGAAGGAGAAGGGCAACGTAGCCTTGTGGGCAGAGAGCACAGCACATACACAGGGCCTGGGGCAAGACTTGCAGCAATCCAAGACTGGCTGGTGACCCAGACCCCGACAGATATGGGGACATGGAGGGTGGTAACACCGGGGGGAGGCCAGGCAGGACACGCAGGACCTTCCTGGCCACACTGGGAGTTCTGGCCCTTAGCTTCGCAAACAGGAACGCTTCTGATAAGCTTTAAGCCCGGGGTGGGCAGTGTGATCGGGGCTCTCCTGGGGACTCCTTGACTGTGTAGACAGCAGCATCCTGCAGGGGAGAGGGGACAAGGGGACAGCAGAGAGCTATGGGTGTAAAACATCAGAAGCTGAGTCAGTGGGATGTGCTGATGGATCTGATGCCGGGAGGAGCGAAGACAGAAGGAAGAGATTACAGACAGCTCAGTGTTTGACTGGAACTGCTGTGAGGGAAGAATGACCCTGGGCAGGGGCAAGGACCCCCGGCTTGATTTCAGACACCTCTGCCCCTGACGCCCGGTAGTACAGCCCTGGTTTCTCCCTGGCCTGGGCTGGGGGTGCTCAGGTGAGCGCAGAACCCCACAGAGCTGGGGGGGGGTGTCCTATACAGCCCAGGGGGTGATGGCAGATTTAACATTTCCAAAATGCGGAGGCCATTACTGTATTTACAAATTCACTAGGCTTTTAAATCACTGGGGAAATTTTAACTAAAATTAACTGCACATTAGGGTGCATCACTATGACTTTTTTTTTTAACTGCAGGGCTATTAACACAGCTACCGATCTGCATCATTAGATGCTGGACAGTTTCTCTCTTCCTTAGAGGGAAGCGAGCTCAGAAATAGTTTGTCCTCTTACTGACCCAGACAAAAACTCAAAAACAGAAACAGGCCTTTCTGTACCATCATGGAGCCAGGAACTTCAAGTCAAAGCCGTGCTTTTCCTAAAGAGCACGGCTCAGCTGTTCCCAGTTCTTTCTTTCAGTTAAAAACAACAAACACAACAAAACAAACTATTAATTACAGCTACACTTCTCTTTTTGTAGCTGAGGTCAGGCCTTAATTGGTTTTGTCCATTTTAAAACTAAACATGGCTGAGAAATTTTCACATCCTTTAGTTCAATGTTTTAAGTTATGAATTTATGGCTTAGAAAATCAGAAATGCCCACCGAGTGAGGGCTGTCCTTCACCCTGATGACAGCCATTTGAAGCAGGTACTGCTCTAAGTAATTTGTCCACACCACAATGAGGACTGGAATTCTGACCCAGATCCACACCCTCTCTCTGCTATCAGCATCACAGAACTTGGTTATGGCAGGACAGGAGGCCTCGCAGTGCAGCAGGCTGATGGGGAGCAGAGGCAGGCTGGGGACAGCGTGGGACAGCTGGAACTGAGTGTCTGTGAAGCCGCTAGTGGAGGGGACTGTCCTGAGCTGGGTCAGCAAGATCATAATCTGGAGGTGCAAACTGGGAGCCTTCAGCTGGAAATGAGAAGGTAACTTATTACAACATGTCAGAGTGTCCCGAGAGTGTGAGTAAAATCTTGGGTAGAGTCCTGAGAACTCGTATGTAAGAACAGGCGGTAAAGACTGGGAAGGGGAAAATCAGACATGGTGGGGAAGAGGTGAGACGAATGAAATGGAACGGGATAGGGTGGCCCTGGAGTTTGGGGCTACGACGTTCCAGAGGCAAAAGGTGAAAGCATCTTAAGGAAGGAGCAGGCTTAGTCATAAAGAACAATAAAATCACATCATTGCAGGAAAAATGGATGGAACTGGAGGTCGTCATGTTAAGAGAAATAGTCCAGACTCAAAAGGCCAAGTATCACATTTTCTCTAATATGTGGACTAATAATAGAAAAAGATGGCATGCAAGTAGAAGGGAGACTTATTAGACAAAGGGAAAGGCATGGGGGATGGATATGATCAAAACATGTTATATGCACTTATGAGAAGACCACAGGAAACCCAATATTTTATAAAATTAATATATATTAATGAAATACATTAAGACATTTCATAGGAGGGAAAATATCAGTTAGAATGTACTTGACTGCAAGTAACAAAAATTGCAATGAAATGTGCCTTAAGAGATTAAAAAAAGAAAAACGGGAAGAAATAGGGCTGTAGACGTGGCTCCGAGGCAGAGTACTTACTTGGTGAGTGTTGGCCAGGATTCAACCCCCAGCATAGAGGTGGAAGGAAGGAGGGAGAGAGGAAGGGAGGAAGGAGAGAAAGGAAGGAAGGAAGGAAGAAGAGAGGGAGGGAGGGAGGGAGGGAGGGAGGGAGGGAAGGAAGAGGAAAGTAAGCAAATTAGAGGTATCTTTCTGCGAGGTCAAGTGAGAGGACCAACCATCCGAGATGGAGACCTAGCAGAAGGGACTCGGGAGTGGTGGGAGCGTAGATCAGGAGGTGACAGCATGAAGAATGAAGGAGGCGAGGACATGACCACGAGCATACTCCGCACTCTTGGAAAATCGGACACGGCGGGGAAGAGGCGAGATGAACGAAATGCAACAGGACAGGCTAAGAGCCTGAGGGACCAGGAGGAGCGGATCTGAAGGAGGCTCCTGGGGGAAAAGCCACTGCCGTGACCTGGACCGTGGCGATGGCGGTTGGAGGGACTGGGCTCTGCTGCAGGGCAGGAGGAAGGATGGGCGGGACCCCATCGCAGCCCAGGCCAGGGGATCACAGTGTCCTTGTGTGAGTCTCGTTCCTTCCTGACACTGCCTCCCGGGGAGACTGGTGAGGGAAGGAGTGGGGGCTTGAAGTGATGATGGCTTGAAATTGCTTCTTAGAAAAATAGGAATAATAATAGTAAATGGTCCTGAGCTTATTTCTTTTGCCCAAATAAAATTCTAAATTTTTTAAATACTTAAAAAAAAAAAAAAGGAAAAACATGGTGCTGCCACCTGCCTCGTAAGTGCAAGGTCCCAAGTTCGATCTCTGGTACCAAAAAAAGGAAAAAGGAAAAACAGCCAACTGGGGAAGAGCGGAAGGACTGTCGGGCAGGACCAGGATGCACCCAGAGCACACAGGACCTGAGTTCACTGCAGCGAGCCTCTGCGCGACCTCGATCTTTCTAACCACCTGGACATGGCACGGAGGTCAGGTCATCCAGAGCAGCATGTGCCAGGAAGACTGAGAGACGTGTAACGGGGCAGGAGAGTAGAGACAGGGTGAGAGTAGCGATGGCAACAGAGAGAGCCAGGGAGCCTGGGGAGGAACAGGAAAGAAATGAAAATGGAAAGGGCTGGCTGGCAGGAAACGAAACAGAGGGTCTGGTGATAGATCTTGTATGCGGAGCTAATATTATTGAGCACATCTTCTGTCCTATTCAGCCTTCATCTTTCATGTGTGATCTTCTTTAATCCTCACTAGCCTTGCACGGTCAGTTCCTATGCCTGTGTTTAGAGAGATTTAATAAGTAGCTGGCCCAGATTAGCCAGTGGGCAGCAGAGCTGCAGTGCCGTCCATGCTGGAGACCACTGGGCTGTGTTGGCCTCCCAGGTGTCTGCGTTCCAGTAGCAGAGCTTCCATGTGCCTCCTCCTCCCAGACACTCGTTTCATGCTGCTGTTCCTCACCCACCATGCTACCTCAGGGGCTCCAGAGGGGAGCTCCAGGCCTCAACCTGATGGAGCTGAGCGAGGCCCATAGGTCTTCAGTCCTTGATCAGAAACCCAAGCCAATCCAAGCTCAGCCTTTGCTGGCCCTAGGACACCTCATTCCTCTTGAGGACTCTGACACGCACTACTACATCCACCTACACTGCTGGCCCTCTTCTCCTAATCCACGCTCGCCATGCAGCAGATTTCTCTAAAATACCAACTCCAGGACCCTGCCCTCATTCAGCGCTGGGGCTGGCTTCCTGCTGCGGAAGATAAGGACAGAGTTAAACACAGCCGAGGCGGGCTCAGAGGTCGGACACTCACAGGAACAATGCAGACTAACAGAGAGGCAATGGAGACAGTGGGTGCCAATCAGGCAGGCCCTGGGGAGACAGCAGGGGCTCCCAGGCAGGGAGCAGGGCACCCTCCCTCTGTTGCACAGCTGGGCACTGGACAGCTCTCATCCACTGTCTACCTCTGTGGCCCTCACCATTCCTGCTGCTGGGGAGCCCTCTGCTGGTCCTCCTCCGACCTCTGTAAAGTGGCTCTGATCTTCCCTTCGACCCTTCTCTGCTCTGCTGGAGGATGAGCCTCCCCCCAGAGCTCCTGAGAGCTCCCTAGGGCTCTGGGTAGGTGGCTCTGTCAGGGATCTAGGGGCTCAGGGTCCTTAGTCTCCAGCAGACATCCAACTCTGTCACTGCCTTTTTATTCCTCTCTTCCTTCCTTTTTTTTTTTTTTTTTTTGTACCGGGGATCGAACTTGGAACCTTGCACTTGCGAGGCAGGAGGTGGAACCACT